TTTTGTTTCATAGGCTTTAAGACATTATACGGCCCAATGGAAAAATATCCCCTTAACAAGGCATCTTTCAATAATGACTCTTGATAACTGCACTTTTCTCTCATTAAATGCTCGAGGGCTTCACTCTTTTGACAAACGAAAAGCGATATTTACGTGGTTAAGAAATAGGAAAGCGGACATTATTTTCCTACAAGAAACATATAGCACTTCCGAAATCGAAAATATCTGGAAGACGCAATGGAAATGCAAAGTTTTTTATTCCCATGGTACAATGCATAGCAGAAGTACAATGATTCTTATTGGAGATAATTTCGAGTTTGAGCTCGTGAATACCGACACCGACAGCAATGGTCGATATATCTTTCTTGAGGCGATGGTACAAGGCAGCCCTTTGCTGCTTATTAATATTTATGCTCAAAATACGGTTAGTCAACAAGAAAATTTTTTCTCTTTGCCTTCAAATAAAATGGAGGAAAACACCTTCCATCCCGAGAAGGTATGTAATTATGGGAGGTGATTTTAATTTTTATTTCAATGTTGACATGGATTGCTCCGGGGATAACCCTCAATTAAAAACTATTTTCATTGAGAACGTAAATGACGTTATGTCAAAGAACGACTTAATTCTTCGATTGCACGTTACGTCATCGCGGCCATGTTGGTGCCATTTAACAAAAGATTTCTCATTAGCATCCAATGTTAACGGCACCACAATGGCCGCCATGTCTTTGTCTTTTGACTCTCTTGGGAATACTGGCAACCCATCAATTGATATTTTGAGAATTCGACATCCTGACACGCGGCGTTTTACGTGACGGCAGAAAACCCCTCTCATTCAAAGGCGACTGGATTTCTGGTTCGTCAGCGACAGTCTGCAAGATGACGTTGGTTTTGTTAGTATAATCCCTTTTCTTAAATCAGATCATTCTGCCATTCTTCCTAAAGTTGTTAGTGTTGATAAACAGAAACAAAGGCCTTCTTTTTGGAGATTTAACTCTAGCCTTATTGAGGATTCTAATTATTGTAATCTTTTGTCAACCCTGTATCCCAAATGGCTAGATGATTATAATTATATAGAGGACGAAAGAATTCTCTGGGACCTTGTTAAGTACAAAATACGACAAGAAACAATTCGATACACCAAAGTAAAGGCTAATGAGCGTCGGCGAAAATGATCTGAGCTTGAAAATAGTTTGAATGAATACGAACAAAATTGCGGCGATTCGCCAACTGAGGCAAATTTTCGAGAATTTGAAATCTCTAAACTAGAATACGAATCGTATCATGATTACATCATCCAAGGGGCAATAATTCGTTCGAGAGCCAAATTGTACAAACAAGGTGAAAAGAACAGTAGTTATTTTTTTAAGTTTGGAAACTTACAACCATAATAAATCTTGTATTAGAAAAGTCCATTTGAAAAACTCGAGTGGCACTACTTGTGATCCTAACGTCATTTTGAAAGAAGTGGAGGATTTTTATTCCTCCTTATATAGTGAGGAGCTGGAAACAGAGTTATGCGAAAATGATACAAAAGAGTTTTGCAAAAGTCCGGTCATACCTCCGCTGTTAGATATGCATTGATTGACACCTTTAATTGTATATGACGATTGCATAATAAAACACAAATACACCACAATTACTGCCAACGAGGATGGCCACATTGTAAAAATTCGGAGAACTTCTTCTTGAAACAATGTGAGATTTCCTTGGTTTTCACAAACGAAAATGGCCTTTTCTGGAAGAATAGAACCATTCGACGAAGCTACAGAAATATGGAGTGCCTACATCGAGCGTTTGGAACAATATTTTACAGTCAACGAGATCAACAGAGAAGAAAGTTCCCGCGCTTCTTACGCTACTTGGAAGAAAAACTTATAATCTCTTGCGGAATTTAGCAGCCCCAGAAAAGCCTTCTGAGCTTGAGTATAATACCATCGTACACCTTTTGGAGAGACAACTATCGMCTAAACCGTCTGTAATCACTCAACGTTACCGATTTCATACGAGAATGCAAGACGAAGGAGAAACTATGAACGTAGCACAACTAAGGAAGCTGGCGATTCACTGCAACTTCGATAACCTGAACGACACACTCAGAGATAGATTAGTATGTGGAATCCGTAATACCGGAATAGATTGCTTTCAGAATCTACGTTACCACTGGAAAAAGCTATCGCAATATCCGTAGCAATGGAAATGGCCGCGAAAGACGCCATTGAATTACAAGGTAAGCACAAAGAAGTTGGTGTAAACAAGATAGCTAAAGCAAAACCTAGAAAACCAACCGAAAATCAGCTTAAACCAAGAGATAATACGTGTTTTAGATGTGATAAACCAGGTCACTCATCTAATTCATATAAATATAAAGAAGCTACATGTTATTTTTGCAAGAAAAAAGGACATATCGAAACAGCATGTTTAGCTAAACGCAGACAACAAACACGCCGCCATACACGCCGGAATGTACACGCCCTCGATAACAATGTTGATAGCGAAGACGAGTCGGACAGTGACATTGAACTTCCCGTAGGAAGCTTAGACATTAATTCGATAAAAGAGAAGAAAACTAAGCCCATTCAACTACAATTAAATATTAATGGAAAGAAAGTATCAATGGAGCTTGACACAGGATCAGCAGTTTCAGTTATGTCTAAAGATGAATTTGAGAAGCAAGTCGGCAAGGCTAAACTTGAGCCCACAAAAGTTGTTTTAAAAACCTACTCAGGAGAGAAAATCCATCCGTTAGGAATCACGCGCGTCAAGGTATAGTACAACAATCAAGAGAAAAACCTCGAATTATGCCTAGTCGAGAGAGGCACAGCAGCACTGTTTGGCCGAGACTGGTTAGCAGCGATACAGTTAGAATGGAAAGAGATAAACAACGTGTTAACACTGAATAAGGAACCTGCAAGTACCAACAACGCACTAGACAATATCTTAAGCAAATATCCAACAGTCTTTGAAGAAGGAATTGGAAAAGTGAAGGACATCAAGGCGACCTTAAAGTTCAAAGAGGAACCGCAACCAGTATTTCTGAAAGGCCAGACAACTACCATATGCCTTGAGACCAAAGGTGGAGCGAGAATTAGACGAGCTAGAGAAAATGGGATTAATATCCAAAGTGGAAACAAGCGAGTGGGCCACGGCCATAGTTCCAGTACTCAAGAAAAACATAAGAGTAATAATCTGCGGAGACTTTAAGAGGCTGTGTCCCTAAGAATCACCAGGCCAAATTGGATGGGGTCTCAGATTTCTTGGGTCGGTGTCCACTGGCAGAACGAAGCTTGAGATTGGACAAAATAACAAAAACAAAGAAAGCATGGATTATGGTGAACAATGTGTATTGTTCTACATGTAAGCTGCATTCTTTGTTTTATCTCACCATTCATTTTTTGGTCATCCATTCCCAGGCTTCGTTCTGCCGGTTGTGGATTACCCGATTTCTTTCAAACCTTATGTACAGAAAGCCTTTCCTACTGGTAGTATTAAAATGCATTTTATTTTGAATGTCGTCACAAATTCGCTAAGTTCAAGGGGGGGTCAAGTTTCGGGCAAAAATTAAGTCTTTGGACGCTTTCTGGTAACGTAATTTGAATGAAATTTGAGGCTTTGTATCTTTTTTAAAAATGCGCAAAAAATTAAATCCTTTTACATGCTGCTAGATACACATCTGAGAAATAACCTGACATATTAAAAGCTTCAAGAAGAAGTATTTTATTTGGAGAAAATTTACACTACTTTTGCACTATATTTGACATTTCGTGACGAGCAAAATTATGACAAAAGATAAAAATTCAAATCTCAAAAGTGGATCGCTCTATAACTCTAGCTTTTCTATCGTGATACAAGTAAACATTGATCTTTCATAAAATGTAATTATTTTTCGGCCAGCATGTTTTAGGCATATTGTGACTCCGCCAAATCTAAGCATTTTACGAGTTGTCAAATTGAAAATGAAAATCGAATGTTGTTACGTCCCTCAAATTTCTACTCTCTATAGACATAGAATTATGTTTAAATCCAAGATAGGATATTTTAAAGGTATTTCTTTGAACACATTCCACAAGTGGGCTCAGAAAAATATTTTTTTATCTTTCATTTGTGGTTGGTTTTGTAAGAAATTTGTATTTTGAATTAGCCATGAATAAAGAGAAAACGATGCGAACGCTTATTTCAAATAATTGAAGACAAATTTCCACTTGTAGGATCAGTAAATGATATACTAAAGATATACTACTTTAGTTTTAATTGCATTGAATTTCCAGAAAAGAGCTGTAAATTTAGCAATAGAGAGCATAAATACAACAAATTGAACGAACTTTGATTGACACAGTTATTCACATCAGCTTTGCACGATCGGTAAAACAACGTGATTCTACAAGCAACCATCAAGACGAGCCTTCAATTCCTCTCCCAACGATTTTCCCAAGCATTACTTTGTAGTTAAGTATGATTTTTGTAGCATAAGTGTTGCATTAGAGCAAAAAAGCGGTATGTTAACACCAAACATCATGCAGAGCCAGTGGCTTTGTTTGTAGTCTTAGAAATGAGGCCGCTGACCAGCAAAATAAATGAGCTGTCAAATGCACGTGTTTTGAAATTGTTTCAATTGCAAAGTGAAGCAATGGAAGTTTGCTTTAAAAAAACTGCGGCGAATCGCGAGGTTTGTCCCATTTACTTAGATTGACTGAATGTGCTGATGATATAAAACGACATCTACTTACATATCACCTCTCTCTGGAAGAATTGACTGAATATGAACTTATACTAGCAAGAAGCGGAAAATTCGACGAACTGGCTGATCAGGTTTCAACCTGGTGGATTTGTCCACACCACCGATATACTCTTGGCA